ACCCTGTCTCAAAACAACCAGCAAACTAACAACCAAAAAGCAGTTACAAAAAGTAGAAAGGAAGAGTGTGGTACCCCACGCCTGTACTCGCAGCACTCTGGGAAACTGGGAGAGGAGGGTCACAAATTTAACCCAGCTTAGGAAACTTAGCGACTTAGTGAGACCTCGTCTCAAGATTTAAAAAAAAAAAATTTAAAAGCCTGGGGTCATAGCTCACTGTAAAGGTCCTGGGCCTATTCTTAGCAAAGAATAAATAAATAAGTAAGTAAGTAAATAAATAAATACTTTCACTGCATTTCAGGAGGCCAAGATTACCTTGCTATCAAAACCAGGCAGACCATTGGAGGCCAGGGAGATAGCGCGGTAGAATAAGTGCCTCCCTGGCAAGCGTAAGGGCCTGAGTTCAATCCCCAGCTCCTCAAAAAAAGAAAGGAAAACACACACACACACACACACACACACACACACACACACACACAAACGGGCAGACATTATAAGAAAAATACACTATTGACCATTCTTTCTTATAAATATAGATGCAAAAAGTCCTCAACAAAACACTAGCACACTTAATCCAGTAACATATAATTAAAAAAAAATTATGCTAAAACCAAATGACATCCATCCCAGGAATGAAAGGTACTTTTACCATTTGAAAGCCAGTCAGGTGTCGTGGTGCACACCCGTAATTGCAGTACTCAGGAGGCTGAAGCAGGAAGATTGCTGCAGGTTTTAGGCTAGCCTGAGCTACATGGTGAGTTCAAAGCCTAGGCTACTATAGCAAGATCCTATCTCAAAAAATTGAAAATAAATCCATATAATACATAGAATTTGAAAAGCACTTGATCATTTCAAAATACATTGACAAAATCCAGCACCACTCCATGAATTTTAAAACACTAAACAAACCAAGAATAGAAGGAAAGTACTCAACTTAATAAAGAGTGTCTACAAAACAATATTTTTTTAAAACACAGCTAGCCTCTACTTCGTGGTGCAAGATTAGATGGATTTTCTCTAAGATCAAGGGCTGGGGATATAGCTAGTGGCACAGCATCTGTCTGGCAAGTGCAATGTCTTGAGTACAATGCCTGGCAAATACATACATACATACATACATACATACATACAAGCTAAGATCAGAAAAATCAAATCTAAGCCACCGTGAACTACCACGCCAAAATCCACTCGAATGAATGTAATTAAAAGTTAGGTAATAACAAGTGTTTGTAAAAATGTGGAGAAATGGGAACCTTCATTCACACTTCACTGGTAAGAATATAAAATGGTGTCACTACTGTCCAAGGGTTGAATTGTACTCTCCAAAAAAGATACCTTTGAGTCTACCACCCTAAGAATTCAGAAGAGAGCCTCACTTGGTTCAATTATTTGAATTATGGGGAAGAGCCAAAAGTCACCCGTGAGGCCAAGGAGATAGCTAGTAGAATAAGCACTTCCCTGGCAAGCACAAG